ATGTTTCAAATTAGTTTGCTATTTTTAAACTGGTAAATGAAATCTGAACAGTGTTTTTCCAGTCATAAAGCTATGGGAGACATTCAAGTCCTATGTAGCAGTGTGATGTTGTTAATTTAACAGCATGAGATGTGATGTTGGAATGTCATCCTTTATATTACAGGACTAATGAGAACGCTTGCTGGAGTGTTGAAAATGGCAGGGTTAGAAAGGGGTTAACCTGACATTTGCCACCTGTGGGTATTGGAGCCTTGTACTAGAAGTGGGGTCGGATGGCTCTGGGCAGGACCCAGTTACTGTAGCACTGCCTAGCGGATTAGGAAAGAGGAGTGATCTGTTTTCTTAATGTATTTGCCACCATGTAGAGCTCTGGTGTGGCCTGTGTAGACGGCTTCTCCTCCTGTGAGGCCTCTGGTGGGCTGTCTGAGAAAGCAAAAACAGAGAAGTGAGGCAGAAAAGGAAATGGAGTGGTAGAGACAGGGAGAAAAACACATGTGAGGAGAGAGAGAGAGAGAGAGAGAGAGAGAGAGAGATTTGTTTTTGAACTTCTACCTTGAAATGGGAAATATTAGTGATAATTAATTCCCGCCTTGCTGTCTACCACAAATTTTCAACACAAATGAATTGTTCTAGAGTTTATTTTCTCAGCTTGAAAGCTAGATTTATTTGGAAGTGGGCTGAAACATAAAAGAAAAGGGAAATAAAATGCCAATCATTTTCTAGTTCTCAATGTTTTTTTTCAACCTCAAAATCACCTATTCCATTAAACATCATTTGAAGTAATATTTCTAAAAACATAATCGTGAGGAAGCATGCCCCCTTACAACATTTAATTTGCAAACATCTTTCCTAAAGTAGGTACTTGGATCCATGAGAGCATTAGAAAAAGACTAACATTTACCCCTTGCTTCAACCCTGCACACATTTCTCTAGTGATATTTCTAATGATTGATGAGAGAATTATACAAATAAGTAAGGAAATTGCTTTTCATATCACGCTGGCAACCTGTTTTGTTTTGGAGTAGATGTCTTCTCATTTGTATATATAAAAGTATATTGTAACACTGTATATTGTGTATATTGTATATTGTAACACTGTAAACAACAGTTGTATATTTTAACACTGTAAACAACAGTTGTGATCTTAAATAGATTTAAACTTATGTAGAGTGCCCTGAACTTCAAACGTGGCAAGGACCCATTGTAGGAAGGGACAGGAACATGAGTAAAGCTACAGGGTGGTGGTTCAGGAAGATCAGGGAACATGTTTTTGTTTAATAAATAGTTTAAAGCTAGAATGTCCGCTTCTCATTTGTAGTGGAAGCTTAATCATCAGAGAACATAAAGAGAAAAGAAATATTTTCTACTAAGTTGTGCCTAAGGCAAGGCAAATACAAAAACGAATAAGATACGCTTATAATTTTCGTTTTATTTTCCTATTGTGCTTATATGCTTAATATCACACATTTTCTTCAAATATTTTAACATTTGGTCATGTAGTTTAAGGAATGAATTTTCTAGCATGTTCCCTCAGTATGCAAATGAATGAATGAAGGAGGCAACGCTCTAAGAAATTTATTTATATTATACATTGTCAAAGCAGGTGATAAACAATATTCTCTGGCGCTCAATGAGTGAATGGATATCGGTTAGTTTTTCTAAGTAGACAAATCTGGCGGTTCTCGGTTTACAAAATCTATTTTAAGAAAGACCAAATTTAATCATTCCACAATCATAGTCATCTATAGACATAAATTTGTCTTTCCTGACCTTGTGTTTAGAAAGAAACCCTGAAAGCGATTTTCTTTAAAGAAAGAGCAGAATGTCTTGGGATTGCTTAACTCCGAGTTACCTTAACTCATGAGTTCTCTTTTATCAAGGAATAGAATAAATGACATGCTGATATCATTAATTGCTGAATGTTAATGTCATTGGAAAAGCCAGTTTTAAACACAATCCAAAGGTGTATGCTTATCATTCTAACTGTTCAAATATACGTTTGACCATTGTTTTTCTTTGTACTTGAACCATATTGATGTATTTTATTTTTCTTCAGTGCTTGGATTGCACCCTGAGGCCTATGCACACCAGAGAAGTGTATTATCATACATTTAATTGTAATTATGGCTTAACAGTAATTATGTTAATCTTTGCAATAAGAATTTCTGAAAATCAGCAATGTCGTTAAAAGTATGTTGATTAACAGATTTGTCTTTTGATGAAACTGGCAATTATAGAAAACAAGAGAAATCATGGATATTGTCATTTCGTTAGCAACTTAATTTTAACAAAAAAATATCAAAGCATGAGTGAGATCAGGCAAGATCAATAAGTAGGTCTTTGAGTTATCATTTCCTTATAATCAAAAATTGTTCATAAATTGTTTGTTGGTTTGTTCGGTCAGATAAATATTAAAAATAACCTAAAATTCAACATCCAGTAGCTAAGTCTCCGTGAACTGAGTGCTTGGGATAAAATTTAGGCCTTTTTGCAATCTTTGATTTTAGAATTGGTATGTAGTTTGCAAAACAATTTTTATAACCAAGTGACAGAATGATCGACTTTTATGACAGATTAAAATCTTTCAAAATATCTTTTCATAAAACAAAGCAGTTAAAATGACAAAAATAAATCAAGGTTGAATTTTGAAGTGCTGCGATAACTGGAGTCTAAAAATAAGATAAATATAAACACCAATTGCGATCTAATCCCCTTGTGAAATGTTTTGTATTATTCCGAGTCACCTTCTCCTCCACAGAAACATCAGACTATGAAATATTCTTAACAGGAGGAATTGTTTCTTTGGAAGTTGCATATTTAGTGTGAGTTTCCTGCTCTCTTGGCTTAAAGGTGAACTTTATTGGGTGCACTTTCTAAATACCTACCGAAAGGAAGAGTGGTGTAGTGACTATACAGCTCAGGGCCATTCCCTTTGTCTGATAGGATCTCATACAAGCAGATGAAGCTCTGTCTCGAGTGGGCTCCATTGCCCTCCACTCCCTGCCTCATTTTTCTTTCTGCTCTGGGCCCCGGCAAGCGGACTATGATGATGGTGCCATCGGCTCTCTCTCTTCTACCATCTCCTGTTGCGTTCCACCACCAGATACCTATGAAGCAACTTAGGAACAAAGACTATGATGCACCTTGACATCATTTTGGCTTGTCTCTCTCAATTCTAAGAAATGTGAATGCCCCAAGCATTAAATGAGTGGTCCAGTAGACCACAACGAAGTACTAGTAAACTTTGTTTTTTAATGTATTTGGTGCAGGGTCTCACTGCACAGCTCAGATTCAGTGATTTTCAGCCTCGGACTCCTGTTTTCAGCCTCCTTAGTGCTGGGATTGCAGGTGTGCACCACCACACCTGGTCTGAGTAAAATTTGGGTGGGTGAATTCGTCTTTTCACTCCAATTCCATGCTGTGTCCAATGTCCAATGGACCATTTTAATAGATGTGTGTAAAATGGTATGATTCAGGAAGTGTTTCCTGGTTCGCTCTGCCTTCCCTACCAGAAGGGACAGAGGTGTGGTTGCAGAATAATGGCTTCCGAAACTGTCACATTCTAATTCCTGGAACATGTGGCTATGACATGTTCTTTGGCCGAGGAGAATTCAGGTTGCAGGTGAAATGAAGGCTGCTAATTGGCTAATTCTAAAATAAGTAGCCTAACCTGTGTCATCGAGGTTGGCAAAGTGGAATCACAAGAGTCGTTAAAAGTAGAAGAGGAAGGTGGAAGAGTCCAAGTGCAGGGATGCGAGAAAGACTTCTGAGCTTACTGCTGGCTTTGAGGGTGGCAGTCATGAGCTTGGGAAGACAGGCGGTGCGCGACAGCTGGTGGTGTTGGTGCGGGGGAAGCAAGGAACAGATTTCCCCTACACTCTCCAGAGGACCCACAGCCAGGCCAACACTTTTATTTCAGGGATTGAGGCCTGCGCGACTTCTGACCTACAGAAAACAACAGAATAGGTTTGTTTTGGTTTAAGCCGCTGAGTTGTTGGTAACATTTTAATGGCAATGATAGCAAACTAATCTATCAGGTAAAGGGTTTTTGTTTCCCAAATCAGAGCCAGAGGAGCCAAAACTGCATTGTTCTGATTTATTTGTTTAAATATGCCTGAGTTTATTTATTTATTTATTTTTATGGTACGGAGTGAAGAAGGGAGAGGTTTTCAGTGAGGGATAGTCCTAGAGCCCAGTAAAAACTTCTGTACCTGTATAGAAGCAGTGCAAGGTGCACAGAAAGGGACAGGGACCCTGGAAAATTTCTCCTTGGGCCCAGGGC